TGTGAGTGTGTGTGTGTGTGTGAGAGAGAGAGTGTGAGTGTGTGTGTATGAGTGTGTGTGCGTGTGTGTTTACCGGTCTGCTCCGGCTCGCTCTTGTCCTCGTCCTCGATGTCAAACTCAGATTCTCTCTCCTCGTACTCCACGTTCTCGTCCAGCTCTTTAAAGTCCGGCGCAAACGCGCTCCAGTTCTCCTGCAGAGACACACACCGTCTACACACACAGGAAGACGAGAGGCGGCTCTGAGCTGAACTGAGCCGATTCACTCACCACTTGGTTCTGAGCCCAGATGGACACCACGCCGCTGGAGATGGAGGCGATGATCGGACGCACCGGATGCCACTGCAAACACACCAGTCACTGAACTAAAAACATGCTCCTTAAAATAAAGGCTAACTGAAATAAAATATACTCAGAAACATTTCATTTAGAGGCTAAGGCAACATTTCAAATTTTCTAAAGTTTAAGGTCAAGCACTACAATTATGTCATGGAATAAAAACATAAAAAAAGGTAATTGCAATTTTTTTTATCCCACAATTCAGACTTTTTAAAAATTTTACTTATTATAATAATATTAGTACTAATAAATAAATATTAATTTGTAAAAATATGTAATAATAAACAGCATAATTGTTTATTATCATTCTTTATATTATATATTTAAATGAGATTAAAATAATAATATAATCGAACACAAAAAAAAGAATACAAATAAATAGTTTGGCATCATTGTTTCTTATTTCTTCTATTATCTTATGTATTTTAATGAGACTTGTAAAAAATGTCAAAATAACAATAACATTAAAAATTATAATAATGTTATTACTAAATAAAAATGATTAGTTTGGCACCATCATTTATTACTATTATATGTATTATAAATATTTTAAAGAAATTAATTAAAATAAAACAATTACAATACTATTATAATCAAATAATAAACTATTTGGATTTTTCTTCTTGTCAATCTGAATTTAGAAAGTCAGAACTGTGAAATTAAAAAGTTGCAATTACCATATAAATAACTAAAACTGAAGCTGAAATAATAAAAAACTTAATTTATAAAAATATAGATGTATTTTAAAAAAACAAGTAAAACTAATGGAGATGAGAAAAAATTACTGGAACAATAAAACTATTTTTAAAATAAAAACATGAACATAAAAATTAAGAATATGAATCAAGTCGATAACATAGCTAGTATATAAACTGATGATAAGAGCGTACGGCGACGTCCAGCAGCAGCTCTCCTCGCGTCCCGTGGAGGATCTTCACCAGGTTCCCGATGCTCTTCTCCCAGATGTAGAGCGCATGCTGCCGCGCCGATCCTGCCACGATATACTCACCGTCACCGGAGAAACAGCAGCGCTTCCACGGAGTCCTGCGACAGAGCGCGGATGATGCGGTCCGCTGTGTTGATGAGGAAACAGCTGCGGGACGAGAGGACGATCACATGACGCACATATACTCACAATACTGCTAACACTCATCTTGATATTAATCCATACTGAAAACATAATAATTTATATATTTATTCAAAACAATGAACCTTTTAATGAGATTTATGTAATATAATAATATTATAATTAAAACATTTAAAACAATTTTTAAAATAAAATATGTAATGAGGTATCATCATTTATTACAATTTCTTATATTATCTTACACATTTATACTAATATTATAATTAAATAGTTTTGCGTCATTGTGTATTACTTATATTATGTACTTACACAAATAATATTTATATTATATTGTTTATTTATTATAATAAAATAAATAGTTTTGCATTGTTTATTACTATTTCTTATATTATCTGAGTATTTTAATGAGACTTATACAAATAATAATAACAAACATTAAAAATATTATTATAATTACATAAAATAATAATAAAAATTAGTATTATAAAGCAGAGAGTTCCGGTGCTTGATTCTGATTGGCTGAGCCACGTTCGAAGCTGTTGTAAATGACTCTACAAAGTAACATACACCTTTGTTTACGTTTGTCTGTTGCTCGGCAACCACTTTGTTGCAACCACAACTGATTCTGAGGAACTACATTGTTTGGTGGAAGAATACTGTTTTTAAACCACGGCTTCTTGGGGCTTATTGCTTTAGTTTACCATAATTTATACACATTAATGTTAATATTAAAATTACATAAAATAATAATAAAATAGTTTGGCATCATCATTTATTATTACTTATTTTATTATGATATGTACATTAATAAAACTTACAAAAACAGCAATACCATTAAAAATGTATAATAATATTATAATAACAGTATAATTTAAATAATAATAAAAATGTAATAAATAAATAGCTTGGCATCATTTATTATTATTTTTTATATTGTGTATTTTAATGAGACATAAACATAATACAACTAAAACATTTATAAAGATCTTATAATTAAATAAAAAATAAATGAAAATAAGTAAATAGTTCAGCATTGTTTTATCATTATTTCTTTATATCTTCTGCATTTTAATGAGACTTGTAAAAATAACAATAACAGTAAAAATTATAATAATGTCATTATCAGATAAAATAACAGTACAAATAAGTAATTATTAAATAATTAATTATATAAATAATAATAATTATAGTTTACTATTATTATTTTTATATTATCTTTAAGTATATTAACAAGACAAATAAAAAATACAAATAACAACAACAATATAAAATAACAACTTTTAAAATAATAAAAAAAAAACAACTACATTAAACAAAATAAACAACTAGTTTGCCATCATTTACTATTTCTTATGAGACTTATATAATAATAAGATAAAAAAATAACACCAACATAAAAATGACAATAATATTATAATTAAATAAAATAAATTAATAGTTTGACATCAGTTTATTATTTTATATTATGTTATTGTGGTAAATAAATAAATAAATAGTTTGGCATGGTTTATTAATATTATGTTATTTTAAATGTTTTATTGTTAGTTAATCTATAGTTAGTATATTAATATTAATATTATTTTATTGCGTCAGTGTGAATGCTGGTGTGACCTCTGACCTGCCCTTGCGTGCGAACTCGATGGATTTGATGGCGGTGGTGTTGCTGGTTCCTGTGGTCACTCTGAACGATGCCACGAGGTCCTGCTTGTTTGTGTTCAGCACCAGAATCTGGACAGACCGACACGTTAGATGGACATCTCAGTCTCACACACACAGACACACACAGACACTCACACTCACACACAGACACTCGCTCACACACACACTCACACACACACTCACACACACACACTCTCACACACACTCACTCACACACACACACACGCACACTCTCACACTCTCACACACACACACGCACTCACTCACTCGCATGCACACGCACTCACGCACACACACGCACTCACTCACGCGCACTCACTCACTCCGTGTGACCTCTGACCTTCCCCTTGGCGTTGCCGGTGTAGATGTAGTCTCCGCGCCGGTCGAATGCCGCCACCACGTTCAGGTCGGAGTCGTCGTCCACCGGAAGCACCACGTGTTTGGCGTCGGACAGCGTGAGCAGGACCGGCGCAGACTTCATGGGACACACCAGAACCTTGTCCCTGAAACACAGAGTCACGCTCTCGCTCACTCACAGGAAGTCATGCGCGTGGCACAGGAAGTGAGGACACTCACATGTCTCTGGGGTGGTACTGCAGCTTGAGGATGGGCGAGGGGAAGCGGAAGCGCTGGTCGCAGTCTCCTGTCAGGACGTCCCACTGAGACACGATGTTATCCGTGGAGGCACTCACCAGCTTGTGTCCATCTCTGCTCCAGCTGAACCACAGCAGACACTCAGTGAGGGACACGTCTATGTGTGTGTGTGTGTGTGTGTGTGTGTGTGTGTGTCTGTGTGTGTGTGTGTGAGCTAGGGCTGCACGATAAATCGCATGCGATATTTAACGCGCATCTTATCAGTAAAGCTGCGCAAAACATGCGCAAAATATGATCGTGATGTGTGTGAGCGAGTGTGTGAGAGTGTATGTGTGTGAGAGTGTGTGTGTGTGTGTGTGAGAGAGTGTGTGTGTGTGTGTGAGCGAGTGTGTGAGCGAGTGTGTGTGTGTGAGCAAGTGTGTGGGCGAGTGTGTGTGTGAGTAAGTGTGTATGTGTGTGTGTGTGTGAGCGAGTGTGTGAGTGAGAGTGTGTGTGAGTGTGTGTGTGTGAGTGCGTGTGTGT